TGTCGTTCGAAAATACCAGTGTGATTACGTTAGAAGGTTAATACAACTGGAACATAACAATGAATATAGGCGTTTACTTACGTTATTTGAGGTAACGATAGAACTTCGTAAAACGACAACGGCGGAATGGGTACAATACAAAGAATATAATCAACTACACTGACGACTAGGGTAAGTGTCGACGGATCGATGAACGGATGGAAGTATACGCACGTATGGATAGCAATATTTGATACCAGAGGCCCCAGGGCTTCTCAAATTTGTATACAACTGTTCCAAACCAAACCTTATCACGGTTCGGTCCATGTTCTTAAATTATTTGGACCATAAGAAATACTCGGACACGAAATTATTATATTTTAAATCTAAAGTGAACGGCAAGCATCAAGCAATAAAAACACAAATCACTAGTATATGTTCGCATCTTCAATATAATTTTGAGACTATTAAGGATATTAAGTTTAACTTTGAAGAATAATTAATAATAAATCTTGAAGAATGAGAATCATTTTTAATAAATATTATATTATACTAAAAACATACACTCTGATAACATATGAATTTGCATGTAAGTATAGGAAAAATATGGATACCTATTAACTCACGTATTATGATTACTCTATTACATTAGAATATTTTTAAACTACGGTGGATAGGTTATGAACATTTAGGTGCGTACCAATAAGATTATTCTTGTTTTAGCAGATTATCAATTGTAGTAAGTAATATGAAGGAATAGATGAATTCCAGGAGATTAAAGTAAAGAAATTATTTACGATATGAGTATTCTCGTTCGAAAATACTTGTGTGATTACGTTAGAAGGTTAATACAGCTGGAACATAACAATAAATATAGGCGTTTACTTACGTTATTCGTAGTGACGATAGAACTTCGTAAAACGACAACGGCGGAATGGGTACGACACAAAGAATATAATCAACTACACTGACGACTAGGGTAAGTGTCGACGGATCGATGAACGGATGGAAGTATACGCACGTATGGATAGCAATATTTGATACCAGAGGCCCCAGGGCTTCTCAAATTTGTATACAACTGTTCCAAACCAAACCTTATCACGGTTCGGTCCATATTCTTAAATTATTTGGACCATAAGAAATACTCGGACACGAAATTATTATATTTTAAATCTAAAGTGAACGGCAAGCATCAAGCAATAAAAACACAAATCACTAGTATATGTTCGCATCTTCAATATAATTTTGAGACTATTAAGGATATTTAGTTTAACTTTGAAGAATAATTAATAATAAATCTTGAAGAATGAGAATCATTTTAATAAATATTATATTATACTAAAAACATACACTCNAAGTGTCGACGGATCGATGAACGGATGGAAGTATACGCACGTATGGATAGCAATATTTGATACCAGAGGCCCCAGGGCTTCTCAAATTTGTATACAACTGTTCCAAACCAAACCTTATCACGGTTCGGTCCATGTTCTTAAATTATTTGGACCATAAGAAATACTCGGACACGAAATTATTATATTTTAAATCTAAAGTGAACGGCAAGCATCAAGCAATAAAAACACAAATCACTAGTATATGTTCGCATCTTCAATATAATTTTGAGACTATTAAGGATATTAAGTTTAACTTTGAAGAATAATTAATAATAAATCTTGAAGAATGAGAATCATTTTTAATAAATATTATATTATACTAAAAACATACACTCTGATAACATATGAATTTGCATGTAAGTATAGGAAAAATATGGATACCTATTAACTCACGTATTATGATTACTCTATTACATTAGAATATTGTTAACCTACGGTGGATAGGTAATGAACATTTAGGTGCGTACCAATATGATTATTCTTGTTTTAGCAGATAGTCAATTGTAGTAAGTGATATATAGGAATAGATGAATTCCAGGAGATTAAAGTAAAGAAATTATTTACGATATGAGTATTCTCGTTCGAAAATACTTGTGTGATTACGTTAGAAGGTTAATACAGCTGGAACATAACAATGAATATAGGCGTTTACTTACGTTATTTGAGGTAACGATAGAACTTCGTAATTGACAACGGCGGAATGGGTACAAAACAAAAAGTAAAAACAACTACACTGACCGCTAGGGTAAGTGTCGACGGATCGATGAACAAATGGAAGTTTACGCACGTATGGATAGCAATATTTGACACCAGAGGCCCCAGGGCTTCCCAAATTTCTATAAAACTGTTCCAAACCAAACCTTATCACGGTTCGGTCCATATTCTTAAATTATTTGGACCATAAGAAATACTCGGACACGAAATTATTATATTTTAAATCTAAAGTGAACGGCAAGCATCAAGCAATAAAAACACAAATCACTAGTATATGTTCGCATCTTCAATATAATTTTGAGACTATTAAGGATATTAAGTTTAACTTTGAAGAATAATTAATAATAAATCTTGAAGAATGAGAATCGTTTTTAATAAATATTATATTATACTAAAAACATACACTCTGATAACATATGAATTTGCATGTAAGTATAGGAAAAATATGGATACCTATTAACTCACGTATTATGATTACTCTATTACATTAGAATATTTTTAACCTACGGTGGATAGGTTATGAACATTTAGGTGCGTACCAATAAGATTATTCTTGTTTTAGCAGATTATCAATTGTAGTAAGTAATATATAGGAATAGATGAATTCCAGGAGATTAAAGTAAAGAAATTATTTACGATATGAGTATTCTCGTTCGAAAATACTTGTGTGATTACGTTAGAAGGTTAATACAGCTGGAACATAACAATAAATATAGGCGTTTACTTACGTTATTCGTAGTGACGATAGAACTTCGTAAAACGACAACGGCGGAATGGGTACGACACAAAAGATAAAAACAACTACACTGACCGCTAGTGTAAGTGTCGACGGATCGATGAACGGATGGAAGTATACGCACGTATGGATAGCAATATTTGATACCAGAGGTCCCAGGGCTTCCCAAATTTGTATACAACTGTTCCAAACCAAACCTTATCACGGTTCGGTCCATGTTCTTAAATTATTTGGNACATAACAATAAATATAGGCGTTTACTTACGTTATTCGTAGTGACGATAGAACTTCGTAAAACGACAACGGCGGAATGGGTACGACACAAAGAATATAATCAACTACACTGACGACTAGGGTAAGTGTCGACGGATCGATGAACGGATGGAAGTATACGCACGTATGAATAGCAATATTTGATACCAGAGGCCCCAGGGCTTCTCAAATTTGTATACAACTGTTCCAAACCAAACCTTATCACGGTTCGGTCCATATTCTTAAATTATTTGGACCATAAGAAATACTCGGACACGAAATTATTATATTTTAAATCCAAAGTGAACGGCAAGCATCAAGCAATAAAAACACAAATCACTAGAATATGTTCGCATTTTCAATATAATTTTGAGACCATTAAGGATATTAAGTTTAAATTTGAAAAATAATTAATAATAAATCTTGATGATAAGAAACATGTTTAATAAATATTATATTATACTAAAAACATATAATATTTATTAAATGGAGTGTATTATACTAAAAACATACACTCTGATATCATATAAATTCGCATGTATGTATAGGCAGAATATAGATACCTACTAACTCATGTATTATGAATACTTTATTAGATTATTATATTATTAACCTATGGTGGAAAGGTAATGAACGTTTGGGTGTGTTATCTTTAAAATCATAAAATCGTTCTAGTTTTAGCACTTTATCAATTGTAGTAAGTAATATTGTAATATTAGTAATATTGTTTACTAAAATTATTAAACCATAATAAACTGTTGAAATAGAAAATGACTTTCAGATTTTATGATCATCAATCCAAACGTTCATTACTTACCTATGTTAATTTAATAATTCATTGATTGAATAAGGTTTTTGGAATACATGGGTATTTATTTATTATCGTGTGTCTATATTTTTTTTTTATACTTCTATGCAAATTTTTATGATAAAAGAATGTATTTTATTTGTATAAAATAACATTACTCAAACATGTTTTATATTTATCATGATTTATTATTTATGTAATCTCAAAATGATATTAATGGTGCCAACATATTCTATTGATCTTTGCTCTCATTGCATGATGAATGCTGTTCATTAAACCACTATAATTTTGAGCGAATTCTGTTGCTACTCGCTTATTGTAGCGAGTAGAACACTTACCCACAATTGAATTTGACTACTCAACTACTTTTGTTACAAATCTCTGGCCATTATACTGTGGAAAGTATAACTATATAACTCGGTTTCTAAATGATATTGATGGTGCTAACATATTCTATTAATTAGTTTTCTCATTGTTTGATCTTGCCATTCTATTTTTATTATTTTATTATAAATTAAAATATTTTAACATTTATTATTATTTATCTATTTGACATTATAAATGTTTTATTCAGTGTTTCTAATTTGGCATCAAATTTTAGATCCCCATACAGTTAGTTCTAGTTCATTAGATTGAAATAGAATAATCTTGCATTCGTAACATCCAGAATATTATATAAGTCTTAAAAGCATTTACACTACATTACCATTCTAATGTGCCGTCAGTTATACTTGAAATATAATATTAACTTTAAGAAGACACTGAACCTGCACATACTGGTGTTAAAAAAAAAAACTAATATTGGGGAAGGGTGCAGCTTACCTATACAACCTAATTTATAAAGTAAATTGTTAAATTTAATGATTATTTAATTATTTCACTTTCTAAAATTTGAAGTACATCCAGAACTTCATCTTGAAAAAATGAAAGCTCCCAAAATGTAATGGTTCTTAAATTGTCAAAGTTTTGTTGAGTTATATTAGAATTTTGAAAATAAAAATTTAATATTTGAGTTTTAAAGCAGTCAAATAAAAATGTCTTTGATTTGTATTGAATTGAACAGTAGGTATGAAACAAAACTTATTGTAAAATTGAAATACAATTATCAAGTCTGAGGTATACAAATGTATTTAAAATTGTATAAAAAATATAAATATATTACACTAATCAAAAATAGAATTAAATAATTTAAACAAGGTAAAGATTACTTTCAAATAATTAATACATTATTGTAATAATTCCTTATATTTGATAATTTCATAATATAATTTCTTATAAACTCCTTATACACCTACACAATTAGTAATTTTTTTTTCAAACAGGTTAAATGTTTTATAAAAATATTAAATTGTTAAACTTCTGTTATTACATTTTTTAAGAGCTTTAGGGGTAGTTATTCACTCCTTATAGAATAATCTTACCTTTTTTACTGATTTGTGTGAAGGGGGATCAATCATAGGTAGTGGATTTAGTACATTAAATAATGTAGGTAGGTATAATATTTAATTTTTAATTTATTCCAACCGTCTTCTCAATGACTTTTAAACTGAGAGCCGTTTCTAAAGAAATATAAGCACCGTTAGTACATTATTCGCATATTTAAATTTAACAAAGGTAAAATTTACCACACACAAGCATGATGATTCTGTTGGTGCCCATTTATCTCCGTATCGCATATTTTGAACTCTTCTAAATGATTAACAGTGTCTTTTTGACCTATTACTGTAGTTCACTGTGCCACAGCAAGGCATGTTAAAAAATAAGCAACTTGGACAAACTGAAAAATTTTCATTATTGTCAGATTATAGTTTGGTAGGTAATCTTCAAAATTAAAAATAATTAAATGCATGAAATATACATTCGTAATTTAATATATATTGTAATTATCAACGGAAATTTGAAATATTATATTAATATCAAAAATAAGTTTTGTT